AAATTGGAAAAAAAGAAAACACAGGTGACATGTAGATGGCCAAGAGACTACCGTACATAAAGGCAAAAAGGACCCTTTTGACATATTGAATAACGAATAATGTAATTAGCTGTTGAGTTTTTATAAGATTTTCTATAATGTTTTGCTTAATAAATGTTTTCCGTGCCTCTGTATTATTGTGTGATTAGTCTCATGGTTCCGAAGGTTTACATTCTCATGTGTTGCACCATTACGTTACTTTTTCAGTTTTATACTTAATAAAAAATTCATAAAAAAAGCTTTTCATACTCCGATCGAAAAGTACTACGATCACACATTGCATAGAAGATGAACATTTGCATGTTAGGTTTGGAGGAAACCCACTGAGATCTTTTAAAAAAAAACCCCGACTATTAATGCCAACTATTAGTCTTCTAGTTCTAGATATACCTGAAAAAGTCAGGGAAGATTTGATGATTGAGTAGACTCAAAATCGAAGTGGTTTTAGGTTTTACTTCAAAGAAAATAGCACAATTTGGCACTTGCCACCTAATTTTCGCCTCGGATTTTTTCCACTAGAGGATTTTTTTTTCCACCCAGCTATTTTTCCAGGCTATTTTTTGAGGCTGTTTTCCAACTGCTTCCCCCCCCCCCCCCAGCTATCTTGTCACAGTATTTTCCGTTGTATTTTTCCTCCCAGTTTTCCCACTGAATGCTTTCATCAGTTTATCTACTGTGTAAGGCGGAACACATTATTTGTTTATACTTTTGTTTTTGAAGGTTACATCATAAATGTGTGCTGATAATAAAAAGCCTTATCCAATCAATTAACTGATTGACTCTTGATGCATTTGAAATTCTAATGAAGCCTAAAGACTCACTGTAGAAATGTGATTTTAGTAAAAAGTTTGCATCCGCATGTTCACACAAAAAAAACAGGAAATCTCTTTTTAACATTTTGAGTACTCTTTTGGACTATAAAGACTGTAGCACACATATTTCCTGGTCGGTCATAGACATTCTTATGTTTTCCTGCATGACAGCTAATAATCTGGCAAGTGCCATTCTTTATACCTTGTACTATGCCGAACATTTACAGTATGGTCGGGTTAACTCAGAAGCTGATCTAGCTTAATTTTTGGGTACCCGTTTTTGGCGCCTGGTAGCCACCCCTGACCATTGGAAATGTCTGGAATTTACCATTCATGATATCTTGAATTATGCCGAATATAAATGATAGGTTTATTGATGATGATGGTTCGAGTTGATCTAGCTCGAATTTTTGGTACACTTTTTTATGCCCCTCCTGACCACACCCACCACAATGGGACCGGCAGATGCCCATTTTCCTACATAGACAGGCACATAGACCATTACTATACA